CAAACCTGAGGCAGCCAAAGTCGTCTTTCTTGCCTTTGGATTTTGTCAGCCGTGAGTGGCTGAACTAGGTGTGGGACCACTGGAGCCAGGTGTGGTTACAAAATAATTACGGCAGTCAATGAAATAGGATGTGGGAAACAAAGGTAGAAGAAAAATTACTAAATTTCCTTACTACCTACAGCCCACTGACGAGTCCATGAAGTAGACTGACATTTCCCTAGGGACTCAGCTGCCTCAACGTTGACACTTTGCTGAGGGCAAAAGGCAATCCTAGCCCAACCCCACCCCAGGATTCTGTTAAGTCTACTTTAACATATAAAAATTCTTTTGGAGACTTCCTTTATCTCTAAACCCCCAAGACACATGTTGGCAATCATCCCCCAAGCATATAACCCACCGATATACCAAAGCGTCTCCTGATAAGGTTTTATTAGATGGTAATAAGTGACCTTTTCCCAACAATAGCTAGCCCCCTGAAAGTCCTGAAAACCTTGCTTCCAAAATTCCTTACAGACTTACACTATCCCCAGCCCCCTCCCAACTTGAAAGTATATAATGGGCCACTCCTCATGACCCCGGTGCAGCCCTTTCTGCCCACAGGTCCTGTCCCTGTGCTTTAATAAAACCACCTTTTTGCACCAAAGATGGGTCAAGAATTCTTGGCCATTGGCTTTGAACCCTAATGTTATTTCCTACATCATAATAAACACATTCCTTGGGTGCCTGAGTGGCTCAGTTGGTTAAGCGACTGCCTTGGGCTCAGGTCATGACTCTGGAGTCCCAGGATCAAGTCCCGCATCCGCCCCTCCCTGCTCAGCGGAGAGTCTGCTTCTCCCTCTGACCCTCCCCCGTCTCATGCTCTCTCTCTCTCATTCTCTCTCAAATAAATAAATAAAATCTTTTTAAAAAGTTAGAATGAAAAATTACTTAAAAAAATAAACACATTCCTTCACATGCCATAGTTGGGTGTGTGCGTGTGTGATGTGGAAATGGCATTTGGAGCCAATGGAGATGAAGTTTCCAAAGTGATTTTTATATGTTAAAGGAGAATTACAGGATCCTGGAGGTTGGGCTAATATCAAGCTCAGGTTGCCGTCTGCCTGTAGCCAAGTATTAACATCGAGGCAGTTGAGTTCCTTGAGGGAGGTCACTCTGCCTGTCTCAAGGAACTAGCAGAGAGTTGTAATTTGTAAGAAAAATTTTTTCTTTTGCCTTTGTCCTCCACATCAGTGAGAACACTTAACATGCTCTCTCCTAGCAAATT